AAATATGGAAGCCACACATACAAAAATTTCATTTACTTTTTATTTTTTTGGTGCTGGGTATTAGATTTAGGAGAGCAGAAAAAGGAAGGAGTTTTAGAGTTTAGAAACAAGAGCCAAAGCCAGACCTGCAACAGTCAAGGAATGTATTCCTTTATTCAAAGAACACAGCAAAGGGCAAAAACCCTTCCTTGGAACTAGGGATCTGCGTGGAAGGGAGGGCCGATTTGGACTTATATAAACACAGCTGCAGGAATTTGCTTGGTGCCAGGGTCTGGTGTCCTTGAGGGTATCTCTCCCAAGATTTTTTTAGGCATGCGAGCTATTTTAAGACACTAAAGGAGACAGGTTGGTTGTATAAACAGTCTCCCTCAGTCCAGAGAGTGACCAGTTGATAAGGCTTGGGACCAGTTAGCCACTTCTAAGGGATTTATGGCTTTCCCTAATGAGGCTTGTGGCTCTTTTGCAATTCACACATTCTATCACTAGGGATTAAAACGAAAGTCTCGAGCATTCTAGGCACTCTACCACTGAAACTACACTCCCAGCCCTTCTAAAAACTCCTTTTATTCTAAGACAGGGTTTCATTAAGTTGTCCAGACAGACCTTGAATGTTTGATCCTCCCGACTTAGCCTCCTGTAACTGGAATGATAGGCCTGTATCACCAGGCCCAGATAGAAGTTTTAATTTTTAAGAGTAAAACTTTAAGGGACTGGAGAGATGGCTCAGTGGTTAAGAGCACTGGCTGCTCTTGCAAAGGACCTGGGTTCGGCTCCAGTACCCACATGGCAACCAACAACTGTCCATAATTCTAGTTCCAGGGAATCCAGCACCCTCTTCTCACCTCCTCGGGCATTGCCCAACACGGATGCACTTACACATGTGCAGACAATACACTCATATACATAAAATAAAAATAAAATATATAAAAAAGACTAAAACAACATTTTTTCAAATTTCTTTTTTATTGTTATATGTGTCTTTATGTATGTTGGAAGAGCTGCACAGCCACAGTGCCCGTGTAGTAGTCAGAGGACAACTTGTGGGAGTTGGTTCTCTCCTTCCACCGTAGGTATCACCGCGTTGAACTCAGGTCATCAGGCTTACTCACTGAGTCATCTCGCTGGCCCAAGACTGAATTTTTTTTCTTCCTTTTTATTTATTCACTTTGTGTTTATATTTATATACGTGTGCACATGCCATAGCAGATGTGTGGAAGTCAGAGGACAACTTGCAGAAATTGGTTCTCTCCTTCTCCAGGAGATCAAATAGATCATCAGGTTTGGCAGCAAGTACCTTTACCTGCTTAGCCATCTTGCTGACCCAAGAGTGAAACATTTAAGATCAGCAGCTGCACTTGAAATTTAGCACATCCTTCTAGCATGAAAACTGTAACACATACTAGGATTATTAGCTGCCTTGGGGTTTGGTTGGTTATGAGAAGAAGTCACACAATGTTTTGAAATCCCATTGCAGTCATGCCAGGACTTGGGAACATCTTCTATACACTTCTTAAAACTTCTAGATGATTTTAAATCTTTCAGACCTGCCACCAGACTTGAAGTATAATCCATTAATATGGAGCTGGGCGTGGTGGTGAACGTCTTTGGTCCCAGCACTCGGGAGGCAGAGGCAGGAGGATCTCTGTGAGTTCAAGGCCAGCCTGGTCTACACAGTGAGTTCCAGGCCAGCTGGGGCTACAGGGAGACCCTGTCTCAAAAAGACAAAAAGACAAAAACAAAAACAAAAAACTAATTAACAAATAAAAAAGCTGGACATGGTGGCACACACCTGTAATCCCAGCACTTGACAGGGTAAGCCTGGAGGATCAGGCGCTCAAGTCTATTCTCAGTTACACAGTGAGTTTCAAGCTAGTTTGGGTTACATAAAACCCTGTTTTTCAAACAAACAAACAAACAAACAAGCAAACAAGCAAACAAAAACCCCATATATATTCGTGTATCACATACTTTCTTTAAAAATATTTAGGGTGCCTAGAGAGATGGCTCAGCGGTTAAGAGCACTGACTGTTCTTGGAAATGACCAAGGATCGATACCAGCACCCACATGGCAGCTAACAACCATCCATAACTCCAGTTCCAGGGGGTCCAACACCCTCTTCTGGTCTCCTCGTGTACTGCAGGACACAGGTGCACTTACAAACATGCAGGCAATATACTCATACACATAAAATTAAAATAATAAATAAAAATATTTGGCTGTCTGCAATTCAATAGCTTTGGTCTCTTTGTAATTCTGTGTGTTTATCTTATGCATGTAAAAACATGACCCAGGGGTTGGCCTCACCAAGCTTGCCATAGATGCCTTTTGTACAAAGTCAGTTAAGAATCTCAGGTTCCGGAAGATCACCAAGAAAAATAAACATAAGGGGGGATATTTTTAAGGTGGCGGCCACAGTAGTGGTGGGTCAAAGGTTGAAACTGACGAGGAGGGTTTTGTGGTGTTTTGTTTTAAAACAGGGTCTCACTATGTAGCCCCGGGTGGCCTGAAACTTACTGTGTAGATCAGGCTGGCCTCAAACTCACAGAGATCCACCTGCTTCTGTCTCCTGGAGTGCTGGAATTAATACCCTGCCTTTGCGCCACCACGTCCCACCCCAAGTGATGATTGTATTTTAAGCTGTAAAGAAGATTCTGGAAGGTGGAAGAGGTGTCCCAAACTGTAAAAGACTGGAGACTTGCCCACCCAGAAACAGGATCTCTGAAATTCATACCCTCCACCTGCACGGACACAGACACTGACTTTACAAGTCTCGCTGTGTGCTGTGCAATCGTATCTGCAGACTGGATGTAAGGGAACCATTGAAAATCCGGATCCGGCTTCCCAAGATCTTATCTGCTGCTGGGTCAGGGAACCCCGAAGCATGCTTTGAGGCAAGCCACCTCAACATACAAACAGCTCACAACCCACCAGATTCCCACTTGCTCCCACTTAGACCCTCGGGGTGGGTTCCTGCTTTGACTTGATTTCATTCTCAGCGCTTTAGCCTGGGGATCGTGGCTAACCTCACCCCCTTTTTACAGGCGAGAAAACAAAGGCCCAGGAGAGGTTGAGTAATGCGCCTAGGGCGCCTGGGCTCACCAGCACCATTGTCATCTGGGCCTTAGGAGTTGGTATTTTCTAGAATGCCTGGCTGGGGTCTGGGAGGCCCGAGAGAAAGATGCTGCAGGGTGCTCAGAGATGGATGGGAAACTCCCGGCTGCACGTGCACCTGAAAGCCCCGAAGTCCCGGCCTCCCCAGGGCTGGGGCGGGGGGAGGGGGGGCGCCATCTGTCACGACTGGGGCAGAGAGACACCTGGGGGGGGGCAGCGCAGCCTTACCTGTCCCGGCGCGCTCACCTGCTGTCTGGCTCCGAGCTGGCAGCGGCCACATCCCATGCTTTTCTGGGTCCCCCTTATGCGCCCCACCCTGAGGGCGGCGGGTGGGTGGGCGTGGGGCGCCCGGGACTGGCCGGACCTGTGGGACCCGGGGCCCGGGCTGTCTGGAGAGTCGGTCACCCCGAGGCAGCCGGCTCTTCCGGGGCTGGGACACCTGTGGGCGGCGGGAGCAGGTGTCCCAGCAAACTCATAAATACTGCTGCGCGTTCGGGCAAGCTGGTGCCCTCGAGGGTGAGCCGGGGGCCCCCCAGATTGCACCTCCCTACACCTCAGCTCCAGGACTTCTCTGGAAGGTTCCTAACCGGTTCGTGGGAGCTGCTGGATGGAATTGCAGTCAGCGGGGAGAACTGAGGGACCCGGGGCGGGGGGTGTGGGGTGTGGGGTGTAGAGGGGTTCAGACACCTACAGGTTCAGGGCTGAAGAAGCAGCAGAGGTGAGGGTGGAGAGGATTGGGGCACAATGGCAGGATGGGGTGCCAGGGAGAGGGATGGAGAAGGATTTAAGAGTGAGTAGAGAGAATGTGGGGGGTCCTTAAAACCAAAATGCTAGGGCTAAGGACAGAGTCTTGGAAGTGCTGGAGGGGTCCCCAGGGTATGGGGGGAAGGCTAAGAATTGGGGGATAAGAAGAAACTGTAGGTTACTAAGAATAGGCCAGAATGTTGGGGGTGGATTTATCAAAGGCATTACCCTCTTCAGCCCCCTTCAGAAACTGGGGGGATAGGCCCGGGTGGTGGCACAGGCCTTTAATCCCAGCACTTGGGAGGCAGAGGCAGGCAGATCTTTGTGAGTTCAAGGCCAGCCTGGTCTACATAGTGAGTTCCAGGACAGCTGGGGCTACAAGGAGACCCTGTCTCAAAAAAAAAAAAAAAAAAAAAAAAAGAAAGAAAGAAAGAAAGAAAAGAAAAAGAAAATGGGGGTAGAAGCAGACGGAGCTCTGTGAGTTTGCAGCCTGGTCTACATGGAGAATTCCAGACCAGCTAGGGCTACAGGGAGACCGTGTCTCAAAAAAAGACCAAAAAGAAAAGAGAACAGGAAGAAACTGGGGGATCACTAAGAGCAGGATGGAATGCTGGGTATGAAATTGTCAAATGCTGTTCACCAACCTGATTCCCCCACCCCGGACCCCCAACCAGCTCCCAGGCCTGTCTCTTGTGAGTTGTGTTTGACTGCAAAACTCTGTAGCCTGGCTCAGAAGGGTTCAAAGCCCAGCTGCATCTCTTCCTAGCTGTGTCACTGAGTCACCTAGTTGTTCAGTTTCCTATCTGTGACAGGGCTGATGATGACAGTAGCCACAACCTCATAGGAATGCTGAGAGGCCTCCTGAGTTAATCTATGCAAAGTGCTGAGCATCCAGGCACAGAGACTTCATTAATTGTTCTCTCTCACCAGCCTCTACCTCCTTCACCACTCCCTCAGAGGACATCCTAGTCATCACTCCTTCCTCCCCAAAGGACACCCTGACTGAGACAGACAGACTGACAGACAGCACTGCCTGACATCTTTCCATTCTCCACCTTCTGTGACCCCCCACCCCCACCCAAGCAGCAGCATCTGATCGCTACATCCCTGCCTTCCCATCCCCACCCTCCACCATCCCTCTGCCATGTGCCCCTTCCTTGGATGCCTGCCCTACTGCTGTCTGTTCCTCTTCTCGCTGGGAGTCCAGGGGGCCCAAGAGTATCCCCATGTTGCCCCGGAGCAAGTCCATCTGTCCTACCCAGGTAAGTGTCCATCACGGCTCACCTTCTGCTTCTGTTTTGTGGTATTTTGTGTGTGTGGGGTGTTCAGAAATCCTACCCTGGTTGCTGAAGAACCTTAGGTTAGTGATCTGTCCTTCTTAGCCTCAGTGATCTGCCTCTATGAAATGGGATTCCAGCAGGCATGTGTCTGATTTTGTGGGGAACAGATGATGGCACCCAGTCCATTGGTGTGAACCACTCTCAAAAGAGGGCTGTGCCGTCCCTGATCACTTACCTCAGGGCCTGGCACTTTAGCTCTGGAATCAACTGTGGAAGAAACCAGTGAATAAAGGAGTAGGAAACTGGATGGGTCTGGTGTCCCCCTCTCCTTTCTCTGTCTCTCGTCTCTTCTTCCTGACAGAGGAAGAGGTTCCCTGCCCCCCCCCTCCAGTTTTTGGAAACTTACATAGCCCAGACTGGCCTCAGACTTGTTATGTAGCTAAGGCTGGCCTGGAATTCCTGATCCTCCTGCCTCTACCTCTCAAGCATTTGTTTCTCTCACTGTAGCTCAGACTGGCCTGAAATGCTCAGTATACCTTCTGCCTTAGCCTCTCAGTGCCGAACTGCCATGCCCTGCTATCTATCATCTATCTATCATCTATCTATCTATCATCTATCTATCATCTATCTATCATCTATCTATCTATCATCTATCTATCTATCATCTATCTATCATCTATCTATCTATCTATCTATCTATCATCTATCTGTTTATCATCTATCTATCACCTATCTATCTACCATCTATCATCTATCTATATCTATCTATCTATCATCTATCTATCTATCATCTATCTATCTATCTATCTATCATCTATCTGCTTATCATCTATCCATTTATTTATGAGGGATGGAACCCAGGGCTTTATGCATTCTGGGCAAGCACTCTACCGACTGAACTACATCCCCAGCACACACACACACACACACACACACACACCTTTATTTCTTGTTTACATTTGCTTTATGAAGACAGGGTTTTACTCCATAGCCAGGCTGGCCTCAGCCTTCCAAGTACTGGGATTACAGACACAGGCCACCACCCTGGCTTGGGAAGATCTTTGAAGAACAGATGATGAGAGATGGGACAAGGTGGCTGTAATCCCAGCACTCAGAAGATGAAGGCAGTAGAACCAAGAGTTCAGGACCAGCTTTGGCTAAAGAGCATGTCTGAAGCCCGCTGAGGCTACATGAGACCCAGCCTCGAAAGAATAAAAAAATTAAAAATCAACTAGATATAGTGGTACATATCTGTAATCTCAGCACTTGAGAGGTAAAGGCAGGTGGGTCAGGAACTCAAAGTCAGATTTGGCTCATAGTGAATTTGAGGCCAACCTGGGCTACATGAGGACGCTATCTCAAAACAAAACTAAGACAAAACAAAAAAGGACACTCTGAGTCCAGTCTGTCTGGGTTCAAATCCCAGCTTTGGAGCTTACCTGCTGGATAGCCTTGGACACCAAGGGACAGGGGGTTGGGGGGTGGGTAACAGGAGGTGACTGTATGGTGAGGTGTTGGTGGGTTGCCAGCTGCTCCCTTTGGAGTCACAGAACTGAGCTTGGTGTGTAGTTACAATGCCCATCTGCCTTTGTCTCAGGATTCTGTTATATAGCTGGGAATGACTAACAAACTCAGATTGCTTTTGTTTCTCTGAGGTGTGTGGTGTGTGTGCGTGCACGTGTGTGTGTTGCTTTTGTTTTTTTTAGAATATAAGATAATGTATCTCATGATGACATTTTCTTTAAAAAGTCTCAAAAAACGTTTTTCATTACATTTATTTATTGTGTGTGGGGGTGGTATGCTGTGGTATGTGTATGTGGAGGTCAGAAGATAAACGCTCAGAAGTCGGTTCTCTCCTTCCACCATGTGGGCCGCAGGGACCAAACTCAGGTTTTCATCAGCTTCGTGCAAGTGCCTTTACCTGCTGGGCCTCCGGTCTCTTTCATTTCAGGCTGAATAGCTGACAACTGGACTCTCTCTGGATTTACTTCTGGTTCATTCTGTCTGGACCCGCTGTTCTGGGCCCTGTAGATGAAGGAAGTCTGGTTTCACACAGATGTGGCTGAAAGAGTTTAGTAGTGCTTCAGATGATTATGGCCCCTTTTGTTTGACACCGCACCCAAGCACGGGTGTTTCTTATTGTTCAAAAATTCAGCATTTTTAACTTTGAAGTAATTTTAGACTGTCAGAAGAACTCCAAAGGTGGTCCAGCTGCCCAGGTGTACTGGCACATGCCTGCAATCCCAGCGCCCTGGAGACTGACGCAGGACGGTGAGTCCCAGGCCAGTCTGGGCTACATAGGGAGGCCTTGTCTCAAAAACAATAATAGTGAACCGAGGCTCACAGATGTGAAGAGTCTGACCTTAGGTCACACATCCTGAAATGTTAAATTTGACAGCGTACACTATCTTTATTTTAAAGCTTTTAATTTAATTTAATTTCTTTTGAGACAGGGTCTCACTATGCAGCCCAGCTGTCCTAGAACTCACTATGTAGACCATGCTGGCCTTGAACTCAGAGATCCACCTGCCTCTGCCTCCTCGGTGCTGGGGTTAAAGGCATGTGCTTATGCTTTTTAAAAATATTTTATTTATTATTTTTATTTTATGCATATTGCCTGCGTGTGTGTGTAAGTGCACTCGTGTTATACAGTGCCCAAAGAGGTCAGAAGAGGGCATCGGAGTCTCCAAAACTGGAGTTACGGATAGTTGTTAGCTGCCGTGTGTGTGTGTGTGTGTGTGTGTGTGTGTGCTGGGAATCGAACCTGGGTCCTCTGCAAGAGCAGCCAGCACTCTTCACCACTGAGCCATTTTTCTAGCCCTGACAACTTATTCTTTTAACAAAGTCATTTTGGAAGTAATATGCAAACATTATATTTAGGAAATTTGAATATGCACCTTGGATCAACATGCAGCTTTCTATGGTACATCTTTAAGAGCTGTGCTGTGGGAATTCCACGCATGTGTATAGTGTGTAATCCAGTCAGAGCCTGAAGCATTTCTGTCTCTTCAAACATGTTATTTTAGCCAGGCGAGGTGGCGCACGTCTTTAATCCCAGCACTCGGGAGGCAGAGGCAAGCAGATCCTTGTGAGTTCAAGGCCAGCCTGGTCTACATAGTGAGTTCAGGTCAGACAGGGAGACCCTGTCTCAAAAAGAAAAAAACAAAAAAAAAATGTTATTTTAGGCAAAGGATTCACACGAATTTTAGATTTAACAGAAGAATTCTAAAAATATTACAGCTAATTCTTGTCTCCTTTTCACTCAGCTTCCTTAACACTGGCATCTTATTGTTGCTGTTTTGAGATACAGTCTCATGTAGCTCAGGCTGGCCTTGAACTCTCCATGTAGCCAAGAAAGCTTATGCGACAGTGCTAAAAGTATTCATTGAGGGCTAGGGAATGTAGCTTAGTTGGTAGAACACTTGCTTAGCAAGCATAAAGCCCTGGGGTTCAACCCCTAGAACGAGAGAGAGAGAGAGAGAGAGAGAGAGAGAGAGAGAGAGAGAGACATATGTAATCCTGGTCGTGGAGGCTGAGGCAGGAAGATTGCTGAGCCCAGGAGTTTGAGATCAGTCTGGGCTACATAGTGAGATCCCATGTAAAAAAACAAAAAGAAGGGCTGGACAGATGGCTCAGAGTTTAAGGGCACTGGATGCTCTTGCAGAGGACCTAGGTTTGAGTCCCAGCACACATGTGGCAGCTAATAACCGTCCATAACTCCAGCTCCAGGGGATCCTATGCCCTCTTCTGACCTCCAAGAGCGTTGTATGACACAGGTCCACTTACACACATGCAGGTAATTCATACACATAAAATAAAAGTAATAAAATATTTAAAAGAAAGATAGGCTGGGCATGGTGGCACATGCCTGTAGTCCTAGCACTTGGGAGGCAGAGGCAGGCAGCTCTTTGTGAGTTCAAGGCCAGCCTAGTCTACATAGCCAGCTGGGGCTATAGGGAGACCCTGTTTCAAAAGGACCAAAAAATAAAATAAAATAAAATAAAATAAAATAAAGAAAAAGGGAAAGGAAAGCAGGTATGTAGCACATGCCTTTAATTCCATAATCCTAGTACTCAGGAGGCAGAGGCAGGCAAATTTCTGTGAGATAAAGCCCAGCCTCATCTACATAATAAATTCCAGGCCAACTGGGACTACAAGGAGACCCTGTCTCAAAAAAAAATGGCTAGGCAGGCAAAGCCAGGAACTGGACATTACTTCAATACTAGAGTGGTACAATTCCAATTAAACTGCAGACCTCATTCAGATGTCCCCAGTATCCCCACTAAGGATCTCACTTCGTATTTAGTGACCGTGCTTTCTTAGTATCTTATAACCTGTCTACTCTTTGTCCAGCTCTGTAGCCCAGGCTGACCTTGAACTCACAATCTCCTGTCTCTACCTCCTGAGGACTGGGATTGCAGATATGCATCAACACAAGCAGCTCTCAAGTCTTTATCTTTTGTAACCTTTGTATTTTTGAGTATTGGTCAATGATTTGAAGCTTCTTTAATGTTGTTTCATGATTAGAAGTTTGTATTGGGGCAAGACTATTGTAGCCAGTGACATTGCGTTCCTCATAGTGTGGGGTTCCAGAGGATGCAGGGATCCAGAGGGTCTGGGGTGTGGGCATGCTTTATTGTTGCTGCTGGTGATGTTGGCCTTGATTCATTGGTTGGTTCGGCAGATGGCTGCTGGGTTTCTCTGCTGTAAAGACATTATTTTTTCCTTTGTAGTTAATGAATAGCTTGGAGAGAGATTGCTCAAGATGATGCAAGTCCTGTTTCTCCACAAATTTTCACCCACTAGTTTTAGCATCCACGAGCTCCTGACTTCAGAGGTTCCTGGTGCTTTTCCTTGCTTAATTGGAATTTTCTATTTTTCTTGTCCCTTCTTTCCATATATATGCATATGCTTTGGGTTTGTTTTTTACATGAATATGGGTGGAACTCACACATTCCTGTGGACTAGGCAGGTGCTCTACCACTGAGCCACACCCCAGCCCCTCACTGAGGGATTCTAGGCAGGTGCTTTACCACTGAGCCACACCCCAGCCCCTTACTGGGGGATTCTAGGCAGGTGCTCTACCACTGAGCCACACCCCAGCCCCTCACTGGGGGATTCTAGGCAGGTGATCTACCACTGAGCCACACCCCAGCCCCTCACTGGAGGATTCTAGGCAGGTGCTCTACCACACCCCCAGCTGCTGCTTTCCATCTAATTGAAATTTTAGTGTTAGGAAGAGCTGCCTATCTCTCCTCCCTCCTCCATTCATCCATTTGTTCATTCATGATTTCTTCCATCAGGGTCTTATGGATATGTCTCGAATTTTCTGGATACAAATCTAATATTCTCATGCCCATTGCTGTTCACAGTGTCCCAGATTTGGTCTATTGCAATCTTTCTGCATTGGCTTTTGGGGGTTTGGAGATGCAATTCAGTAGTAGAACATTTGCCTAGTGTGCCTGAAGCCCGAGTTCCCCTAGCACCTAAGAAGAAAAATTCTGCCTCCCGTATCCCTTTCAGAAGCATGCACACCCAAACCATTGTATAAGCTCTGTCCTCAGACTCACGATACTGTTAGGACATTGTTTTCTATGTAGTTTTCTTCCTTGTTCCCTTCAGTGTGTTTATATCATTTACTTTGTAAGGTAGCCAGGAGCATGTGTAGACAGTTAGAATCTGTGTTGAACTCCCTCCATTTCTGGCTGGTTTTAATGTTCTCTTAGTTTTTACTTTATTTTTATTTATTATTTTCGGGGGAGTTCTTTTTGAGACAGGGTCTCCCTGTAGCCACAGCTGGCCTCGATTCACTATGGAGACAAGGCTGGCCTCAAATTCACAAAGATCTGCCTGCCTCTGCCTCCCAAGTGCTGGAATTAAAGGCATTTGCCACCACGCCCGGCATTTTTACTTTATCTTATCTTATTTATGAGTATGTGTGTGCACCTGCTTATATGTATGTGCACTGAACCCTGGTCTTCTTCTCTCCAGCCCCATATTCTCTTAATTTTGGAGGGTGAGGGGAAGAGGTGTGAAGGGAATAGAAAGGATGATTATAGTTCTAGAAGTTAAATTAATTAATACAAAAAGAACTTGGAGAAGTGTCTGCCTCAGCTGCTGCTCTCAGCCCCGTTCCCTACACCCCACTCTTCACCCTCACCCACATCCTTGTAACTCATCTCTTCAGTTCCTGAGTATCCTGTTCCAGGGGATTCCAACACCCTTTTCTGACCTCCACAGGCATTTCACGACATGGGTGCACTTGCATACATTCAGGCAATACACTCATACACATAAAATAAAAAATAACATATAATATATATATATTTTTTTAATTGCTCTAGATGTCAGTAGGTTGGATATGGCTGGGTCAGCTTCCTGCTCGGCACCTATCAACAGATCGCGCCATCGTCCCTTACACATGAGTTCTATGGTCATTTGCACACCTTCCTCCTGCCTACAGCTGTTTCTTGTGCCCTCCTCCACTTTTTTTTTTTTTATTATTATAGAGCTGGCCTCCAGACACCTGTCTGGAGCTCTCAAATGATATCATGTGTGTGCAATGTTGGCCACAGGCTTGTAGGTCATACACAGCACAGAAGAATAAAGGTACTCACCCAGCCTTTAAAGCTCTCTGTACTAGGCATTGTTGCAAGTGCTTTGCTTAAGGCTGTCCTCGAGGATGGCTTCCAGAATGCTCCCAGGGCACCAAAGCCTGGGATGCTTCAATCCCTGGTATACAAGGCAGTAGTGTTTGCATAGAACCTCCTGTGCACTGAAAAGTCGCCTCTAAGAGTCTCAAAACTTAGCGCTGTGTAAATACAGGTCGCTGTAGTACTGTGCTGTTTCTTTGCTTGCTTTTGTCTTTTTGGTCTTTTTTGAGAAAGGGTCTTCCTGTAGCCCCAGCTGGCCTTGAACTCACTATGTAGACCAGGCTGGCCTTGAACTAACAGAGATCTGCCTGTTTCTGCCTCCCGAGTGTTGGGATTAAAGCCATGCACCACCACGTCTGGCTGTCTTATTTTTCATTAGTATATATGAATTAGACATGATAAGATTCATAATGACATTCTCATACATGTATATAATATATTTTGATAATAGTCACCCCATTACCCTCTCTTGTCCACTCCCCAACCCACTGACTCCCTTCCTCCTCCCAGCTTCCCCCCTGCCCATACTTTCATGTCTTTTTGTCTCTGAGGGTTTAATTGAGGCTGCTTACAGGAGCATGGGTACACCTTACCAGAGGTTACATTACTGAAGAAAATGTCTCTTCTTCCCCAGCAACCATCGACTGTAGATCCTCAGAGAGGAGTGGGGGTGGGGGAACTTGTGAACTCCTCTCTCCCCCATTCCAAGTTTGGTTTTTTAGAAACAGGGTTATGAAGCCAGGTTAGTCTAGAACTTGGGGTTTTTTAGAAACAAGGTCTTGTTATGAAGCCCAGGTTAGCCTAGAATTTGTTATGTGGCCCACTCTGGCCCAGAATTTATAATCCTCTTGCTCCAGTCTCTCTTAAGTACTTGGGACTACATGCCTGCTTCATGAGGCGCTGAGGGTAGAAACCAGGGCTTCATACATGCTAAGCAAGCACTCTACCCACTGAGCCACATCCCAGCCCTTTTTCAATCCACATATATAGTTTATTGTTTGATTGATTGATTGAGAGAGTTTCACACTGAGTAGCCCAGGCTGGTCTCACACTCACAGAGATCTACCTGCCAGTGCCTTACAAGTCCTGAGATTAAAATCAGATGTGCACCACCACATCTGATTCCTGCTGCCATTTCTATTCACCTGTACTTCATCACAAGCGTATGGGCTAGATAATATTCCATTTCACAGATAGGGAAACTGAGGCTCCAGGGGGGTGAGATAACTTGTCCAAGGTGGGGACTGGAACTGAACTCTGCCCTCTGGGACTTGGTCCTTAACTCCTAAGTGTGTTCAGAGCTCTGCGGATCCTCACCACCACTGGCCCTGTGCACCCCTCCTCCCCAACAGCTTGCCCAGGCCTGCCTGCCCAACCCCATCTCCTGTTTTTTTCTCCACAGATGAGCCGGGCTCCATGACCGTGACCTGGACCACATGGGCCCCTGCCCGGTCCGAAGTGCAGTTCGGGATGCAGCTATCTGGGCCTCTCCCATTCCGAGCCCAGGGCACTGCCAGCCCCTTTGTAGATGGGGGCATTCTGCGGCGCAAACTCTACATCCACCGGGTGACGCTGCGCAAGCTGCTGCCAGGGGCTCAGTATGGTGAGAGAGCTTGGGAGGGGAAGAGTGAGGCATGGACTAGAAGCCACCCAGGTAGGTGGCTGAGGGTGGGCTGGCCACCTTGACCCAATGCAATGGCACAGGCCTATGATCCCAACACTTGGGAGCCTGTGATTCCGGCACTTGGGAGGTAGAGGCAGGAAGATTAGAAATTCAAAGTTGGGCCTGGAGAGATGACTCAGTGGCTAAGAGCACAGGCTGCTCTTGCAGAGGATCCCAGTTCGGTTCCCAGCACCCATATCAGGCAACTCCTACCTGTCTTTAACTCCAACTACATGGGATTTTCCACCCTCTTCTGGCCTTCAAGGGCACTGCAAGCACATGGTGCACATACATACAAGCAGGCACTCACACATAAATAAAAATAAACAAACCTTTTTTTAATCCCTAATTTTTCTCCCTCTCATCTGCTGCCTGTGGGTGGACACTGACAACCCCCTAAGCTGACCATGGTCTTTCCTTCTTCCCTCAGTTTACCGCTGTGGCAGTTCCCAGGGCTGGAGCCGGCGGTTTCGCTTTACAGCCTTGAAGAATGGGGTCCACTGGAGCCCCCGCCTGGCTGTGTTTGGGGACCTGGGGGCTGACAACCCAAAGGCCCTGCCCCGGCTACGCAGGGACACCCAGCAGGGCATGTACGACGCAGTGCTCCATGTGGGTGAGGCACCGGAGAGGGTGCACCTGGAGGCAGAAAGGCTGGGTGCCCAGCAGCCCAGTGCCCAGTCGGGTTGGTGGAGGTGTGATGGCTCAGAAGGGAGGGGGCCCAGACTGGCCCAGATATGGAGTCTGAGGCTCACCAGACTGTGCCAGTTAAGATCTCAATTCTGTTTCCTGTAGCTGGGGGTGTTAATGGCCCCTGTTACCATTGTTGTTGTTATTAGACATAAGGCTCATTCAGAATTCACATAACTGTTAAGATGAGTGGACACTGTGTCAGGTGCTTGTAATCCCACCAGTGCAGAGACTGAGGCAAGAGGATTACCCAGAGTCCAAAGCTGGTATGAACAACTTACTGAGCCCTTATCTACAAAACCAAGGGCTAGAGGTGTGGCTCAGCAGTAGAGCACCTGCCTAAAATCCCCCAGTGAGGGGCCTGGGGTGTGGCTCAGTGACAGAGCACCTGCCTAGACTCCTCCAATGAGGGGCTGGGGGTGTAGCCTAGTGGTAGAGCTCCTGCCTGGCATTTAGGAGGCCCTCAGTTCCATCCCAAGCAATGAAAAAAGAAGAAAAAACTTAACAAAATCAGAGCCAAACTGGACCTAGCTGTTGTTCTGAAAGGGGATAAGCGACAGGCAAAGGTGGGGATGATGTTTCAGCCCCAGGAGACATCGTGGTGCTGAGGGACCAAGACTCCCAGAGCACATGGATATGGGTGTGAGGTAGGGATCTGAGCCAGGATGGCTTGGCCGGCTGCTGAGCACCAGGTTCCAATCCTGGAGTAAGCAGAGCATGATTCTCACTCTCTCTTTGTTCTTGGATGGCTCTAGGAGACTTTGCCTACAACATGGATCAGGACAACGCTCGTGTGGGCGACAGGTTCATGCGGCTCATTGAACCTGTCGCTGCCAGCCTGCCGTACATGACGTGCCCTGGGAATCATGAACAACGCTAGTGAGCACCGAGAATGGAAGGGGTGGGCGAAGTCTGGATTAGTGGAAATTTGTGTTATTAGTGCCTCACTTGAGTTTCTCACACTGCAGTGTGTCTCCTGTGATACTAAGGGGGGGGGCGGCTTCATCCAAGTCCTCACTCTTTGCCTCTTATAATTCTTTTCTTAGCAATTTCTCTAACTACAAAGCTCGCTTTAGTATGCCAGGAGATAACGAAGGCTTGTGGTACAGGTAAGGTGTTTGTGAGCGTGGGGCTGGACTGGCTCCTCTGAAGGGTGGGTGATGCGCACACTCCTGCCCTTTGACCCCTGCCCTTTCACCCCTGTAGCTGGGACCTGGGTCCTGCCCACATCATCTCCTTCTCCACCGAGGTCTATTTCTTCCTGCATTATGGGCATCATCTTGTTGAGAGACAGTTCCGTTGGCTGGAGAGCGACCTCCAGGTAGGCCCAAGTGGAAGTCTTGTCAGGCCCTCGATCCGACCGTCCCTCACACTTTTCTCCTCTCTAGCAAGCCAATAAAAATCGGGTGGATCGACCGTGGATCATCACAATGGGTCATCGGCCAATGTACTGTTCCAACGCAGACTTGGATGACTGCACGAGGCATGAGAGCAGGGTGAGGTCCCTGCCCTGGGGAGGGGACAGAAGGGCAGGTAGGAGCCTCTGTCCTCCCCCTCATCTCCCTCCCTCCTCTTTCCTTCTCTCCCCTCACTTCCTGCTCATCTCATCAGGTCCGAAAAGGCCTCCGAGGCAAGTTGTTTGGGCTAGAGGACCTTTTCCACAAATATGGTGAGAGACCTTGGAGTCTTAACCTTCTCCATTTAGGAGTCTGACCATCTCTGGCCATCTGTCCATGCAGCTGTCTGACTCTCACTCTCTCTGCACAGGTGTGGACCTTCAACTCTGGGCACACGAGCACTCCTATGAGCGCCTGTGGCCAATTTACAACTATGAGGTGAGGCTGGAGGAGGGTGGAAGACCCAACAGCTGATGTCAGTGTGGTTAGATCCCCCTGAGACCTGGCCCTCTGTGACCCAACAACCCGTTGTTCCTGCCTCTAGGTATTTAATGGCAGCACAGAGGCTCCCTACACCAACCCTCGAGGCCCAGTTCATATCATCACAGGGTCTGCGGTGAGCTGGTGGGAAGGGTGAGCTGCCTGGTGTGCATGTGTAATGTAGTGACTGCCATTCACCCTGGGCCTCAAAGCCAGGTACTGCTGGTTCTCCGACAGATGGGGAAATCGAGGCTGTGACAGGAAGTATGACTGCTCAGAGTCATAGATGGCATAAACAGTAGCGATTGGAAGCTCTGTGTGGGGTGTATACCTGTAACCCCAGCACAGGCCAAAGCAGAGGGGATTGCCCTGAACTCAAGGTCACATAATGAATTCCAGACCAGCCTGGGCTGTAGTGTGAGACCTGGTCTTAAAAAACAAGGCAGGCAGCCAGGTGTGGTGGTGCACGCATTTAGTCCCAGCACTCAGGAGGCAGAGTCAGATAGATCTCTGTGAGATTAAGGCCAGACTGGTCTCTATAGTGAGTTCCAGGTCAGCTGGGACTACATGGAGACTCTGTCTCAAAAAACAAAACAAGACAAAAACAAAACAAACAGGGCTGGAGAGATGGCTCAGTGCATAAGGGTATTTGCTGCCAAGCTGGATGACCTGCGTTCAATCCCCAGGACCCACGTAGTGGAGGGAGAGAACCCGTTATTGCAAGTTGTTCTTTGACTACCATGTGCGTACTGTGGTGCCATGTTATTAAGCCACATCACAGTTATACCCAAGTAAAGAATCAGCCTGCCTCTTAGCATTAGTGTTTTTTTCTTTTTTCTTTCCTTTCTTTTTTTGGTCTTTTTGAGACAGGGTCTCCCTGTAGCCCCAGCTGGCCTGGAATTCACTACGTAGACCAGGCTGGCCTCGAACTCACAGAGATCCGCCTGCCTCTGCCTCCTGAGTGCTGAGACCAAAAACGTGCACCACCACACCTGCTCTTCTTAGCATTAGTTTTATGACCAAAAATGGACCCAAACTCTGAGGCACCTGTTTCTTCAGAAGTCTCACAGAACTGTGCTCTTGAGACAGGACTCACCATACATTTATTCAAACAGTTTCCCCAGCATGAGGATTGGATTCACTCTTATCCTATCAGAGGATCTTACCCTTGATCCCTAGACCTAAAGTATCTCGTACACACAACATCAAGTATTCTGCTCAATTATTCTCATTGCTTCCAATGGGGACGCAAAGGTGAACACACTGTTTTCAGTGTTCTGATACGCTAATTCAAGCACACTCATGTTCATTCACTACCTTGGGTGGAGGCCAAAATGGGGTCCTGAGGGATTAAGGTCAGGTGCCCCAGGTAACAAGAGGAGCACGTGGTTCGGAGCTTGCTTGCATTACAAACAGTAGCTTTTGGAGTAAGGTTAAGCAAAAGTCATTAGTCCAGATTCTGTCCACATTGTAAATCATTCCTACACTGTGGTATGCCCATGAACACACACACACACACACACACACACACACCAAACAAAAATAATGTAGTTTGAAAAACATTTTTAAACACACAAAACAAAGCTAGCAGCTATCATAAGGTAGTACTGGGCAGGTAGAGGCAGGAGGAACAGGGAGTTCAGAGTCACCCTTGGCTACATAGTAAGTTCCAAGTCAGCTTGGGCTGTATGAGACCCTGTCTCAAAAGCAAACAAACAGTTGTGCTCAGGGCTTCATCTTCAGTAAAGTTACTATAATGTTCTCTCTTTCCCTCTCCCTCTCTCCATCTCTCTCTCTCTCTCTCTCTGTCTCTGTCTCTGTCTCACTCCTGAGACAGGGTCTCACAGTGTAGCCCAGGCTGGCCACAAACCCACACATCTTCTGCCTCAGCCTACTGAGTGCTGGCATTATAGATGTGTGCCACCATGCCTAGGAAAAGGGCATTTTTTAAAAAACTATTTTCTTTATTATTTTTATTTTATGTGTATGAGTGTATTGCCTGCATGTATGTAAGTGCACCTATGTTGTGCAATGCCCACAGAGGTCAGAAAAGGGTGTGAGATTCCCCTGGAACTGGAGTTACAGATGGTTGTTTGCTACCATGTGGGTGCTGGGAATTGAACCCAGGTCCTCTGCAAGAGCAGCCAGTGTTCTAAACTGTTGAATCAACTTTCCAACCCCAAGGGGTTTTTGTTTGTTTGTTTGTCTGTTTTTTTCTCTTTTTTTTGAAACAGGGTTTCCCTAAAGCCCCAGCTGCCCTGGAACTCAGTGTAGATTGCAGACCAGGCTGGCCTTAAACTCACAGAGATCCGCCTGCTTCTGTCTCCCAAGTGCTGGGCCACAGGCATGGACCCACCACGACCGGCTAAGGGCTTGTTTTTTAAGCTGGTTCTTACAAATGATTAAGATGAAAGTTAGAACCAAATTTCAAAGTGCACAGAGGGGAAGAGGGGAGCAGCTACTGTCTGCAGCCATTCTCCATCCTGTAGTCCTCTGTCCGCAGCCATTCTCCATCCTGTAGTCCTCTGTCCGCAGCCATTCTCCATCCTGTCCTCCTCTGTCCGCAGCCATTCCCCATCCTGTCCTCCTCTGTCTGCAGCCATTCTCCATCCCGTCCTCTGTCCGCAGCTATTCCCCATCCTGTCCTCCTCTGTCCGTAGCCATTCTCCATCCCGTCCTCTGTCCGCAGCCATTCCCCATCCTGTCCTCCTCTGTCCGCAGCCATTCCCCATCCTGTCCTCCTCTGTCTGCAGCCATTCTCCATCCCGTCCTCTGTCCGCAGCTATTCCCCATCCTGTCCTCCTCTGTCCGTAGCCATTCTCCATCCCGTCCTCTGTCCACAGCCATTCCCCATCCTGTCCTCTTCTGTCCGTAGCCATTCTCCATCCGTCCTCTGTCTGCAGCCATTCCCCATCCTGTCCTCCTCTGTCCGTAGCCATTCTCCATCCCGTTCTCTGTCTGCAGCCATTCTCCATCCTGTCCTCCTCTGTCCGCAGCCATTCTCCATCCTGTCCTCCTCTGTCCGTAGCCATTCTCCATCCTGTCCTCTATCCGATGTCCGTTTAAAAAAAATTTTTTTTTAAGGGCTGGAGAGATGGCTCAGTAGCTAAGAGCACTGGCTGCTCTTGCAGAGGACCCAGGTTCAGTTCCCAGCACACATGGCAGCCAACAACTGTCTAACTCCAGTTCCAGGGGATCCGTTGCCCTTGTCTGGCCTCCATGGGCATTGCATGCGCTTGGTGCACATACATACATGCAGGCAAAGCATTCACACAATAAAAATTTTAAAAACTTTTAAAAACATTTATTTATTTATTATTTATTTGTGTGTTTAAGTGCACACGTGTGCCACAGAAGGTATGGGGAGGCAGATGACACCTTGCACAAGTCAGTTCTCTCCTTCTGCCAATTGGATTCAGACTCAGGTCATCAGGCTTGATAAGAACCTTTCCATGCTGAGCTATCTACCTGGTCTTACATGCCCCTCATGACATTTAAAGCTGTTCTTTGCACACGCACACACACATACACACGCACACACACCATAGGTTTTCAGTCTTGGTGTGTGTCAGAATTATCCCTGAGCTTTCATTTTACTTTACTAATTTTGTTGTTTTTGGTTTTGGTTTTTCTGGAGACAAGGTCTCATTATGTAACCAAGGCTGGCCTCGAACTCACAATCCTCTTGCCTCAACCTCTCAAGTGATATGATTACAGGTGTTTGCCACCGTGCCTGGCTTAGCAATGGACTTGAAATTATGCAAATATTCTGTGATTCCAGGACCTCTTTGTATTAGTGGGTATTACCATCCTACTCCTTACAATGTGGGGTATAAAACTGTGATTTACTGAAGATTTAAAATTTATTTATAGCCAGATGTGGTGGTGAACACCTTTAATCCCAGCACTCGGGGAGCAGAGGCAGGCTGATCTCTGTGCATTCAAGGCCATCCTGGTCTACATAGGGAGTTCCAGACCAGCTGGGGCTACAGAGAGACTCTGTCTTAAAAAGACCAAAAAGATTTTATTTATTTATTTTTATTTTATGTGTAAGAGTGTTTTGCCTGCATGTATGTAAGTGCACCATGTGTGTGCAGTGCCTGCAGTGGCCAGAAGTTATCAGATCCCCTGGAACTGGAGTTTACAGGTGGTTGTTAGCCACCATGGAGGTGCTGGGAACCAAACTTGGGTCCTCTGCAAGAGCAGCCAGTGCTCTTAACCACTGAGTCATCTCTCTAGTCCAAAGATTTTGTTTTTTAAGACTTATTTTTATTTATGTGTATGTCTATGTGAGTGTATGCCATGTGTGTGGGTGCCCAAAGAGGCCAGAAGAGGGTACTGGATCCCCTGGGACTGGAGTTACAGGTGGCTGGGAGCCGCCTGACATGGGTGCTGGGAACAGAACTTGGGTCTTCTGGAAAATCAGCAACTGCTCTTAACCACTGAGTCATCTCTGCAGCCCTTGATGTTTTTCTTTATTCCCTTTGCTTCTATTGCCTGACTTTCTGCTCTGTCTCCCCTAGGCACTAGTGGTTTTATTTTAATTAATTAATTAACTAATGTTGAGATGGGGTCTTGTGTAGTCTAAGCTGGCCTCAAACTTGCTATGTAGTTCAAGTTGACTTTGAACTTCTGATCCCCCTGCCTCCACCTCCCAACTGTTGGCACTTGGGATGTGCACCGCCAGACCTGGTTTTATGTTGTGCTGGGGATCACACTAAAACTCTGAATGCTAAGCGGGCACTCTACCAACCTGGCCATATTTCCATCACAATTTACTTTTGTCTTTATTTATATATTTAATTTATTTAGTGTGTGTGTGTGTGTGTGTGTGTGTGTGTGTACACATGCACATGATACGCATGTGAAGGTCAGAAGAAAACTTTCTGGAGTGGGTTTTCTCCTTCTACCACATGGGTTGTGGGGACTGAACTCGGGTTGTCAGGTTTGGCAGCCAGCACCTTTACCCGCTAAGCCATCTCACAGCACTTAATTTTGAGACGGGGTCTCACTCTGTAACTGACGCTGGTCTGGATCTAACTATGTAGACCAGGCTAGCTTTGAACTCAGTGATCCATCTGCCTCAGTCTCCCAAGTACTGGGGTTCAAGGCTTATGGCTGAGTTCTAACAGACTTTTTCGTGGAGACAGCAGGGTCCTGACCTGATAGGTCTTTTCAACTGCCTCTGTGTCCTCCAATTGCCCCATCTCCTGTCTGACCTGCTGTCCCCCACAGGGCTGTGAAGAGCTGCTGACCCCCTTTGTTAGACAACCCAGACCCTGGAGTGCTGTGCGAGTGAAGGAATATGGGTACACACGGATGCACATCCTCAACGGCACTCACATGCACATCCAGCAGGTGTCAGACGATCAGGTCAGTGACGTGCATACTGGGTTACACACTAGGAAACCAGAGTGTTCAGGAGCCAAGTGGTTAAAACCTTGGACCCAAAAATAAATCATAAGCTAGGTGTGGTGGTACACACTTGTAATCCCAGTGCTTGGGAGCCCAAGGTAGGGGGCTGGGGTTGTGACTCATTGGTAGAGCACCTACCTAGAATCCCCCAGTGAGAGGCTGGGGGCGTGGCTCAGTGGTAGAGCACCTGCCTAGAACCCCCCAGTGAGGGGCTGGGGTGTGGCTCAGTGGTAGAGCACCTGTCTAGAATCCCCCAGCGAGGGGCTGGGAGTGTGGCTCAGTGGTAGAGCACCTGCCTAGAATCCCCCAGTGAGGGGCTGGGGTGTGGCTCAGTGGTAGAGCCCCTGCCTAGAATCCACCAGTGAGGGCCTGGGGGCGTGGCTCAGTGGTAGAGCACCTGCCTAGAATACACTATTGAAAAGAACAAAATCTCAATGGGGTCAGAGAAAATAGCTCATGGTAGAGCACTTGCCTAACGTGTGAAACCCTATGTTGAATTCCTACCTGAGGGGAGGAGCAAACACCAGAAACCTGAGAGGCTGAGATGACTGGACTAGATAGGGTAACCATGTGTTCAAAAAGGACTCTAGAACTGGAAGCCTAGGTTCAAATCCTACCTGTGCTTCCTACCAGCCTCATGACTTTGAGAAATGTCTGTGATCTCTTTGATCTTCAGTTTTCATATCTGTGAAATGGGGGTGACCATCACTTCTACCTCAGTTCAATGACATGTATAAAGTGCTTAGGAGCGGTGGCTGACAGTGGGAAACTGCATAGATATTTTTAACTTCACAGCAGGAGAAGGAAAAGGTGGATGATGGGAGGCAACAGAGCTTAGACTGTGCCCGATGTATGGGAGTGTGGCTTAAGGCTAGGTGGATTTGAATAATAATGGCCCATTTTTTTCCTCTGTGTGTGTGTGTGTGTGTGTGTGTGTGTGTGTGTGTGCGCGCGCTCACCTGTGTGTACATGTGTGGAGGGCAGAGGTCAACCTTGAGTATCTTCTTCTATTGCCTTTTACATGCTTTTTCTGACACAGGGTCTGTCACTGAACTCAAAGCTTTTTGTTGCAGCTAACCTCTGGGATACACCTGTCTCCATGTCCCACACCCCCATGCTGGGGTCACAACCCTGTACTGTCATGTCTAAGTCAGGTTTCTTTTTTAAGATTTATTTAGTATGTGCCTGCATGAATTTATATGCAACATGTGTGTGTAATGCCTGTAGAGTCCAGAAGAGGGCATCAAATCTTCTGGAATTGGAGTTACAGGCAGTTGTGAGCTGCCTGAGTGGGATCTGGGAACCCAACTCAGGTCCTCTGCAAGAACAGCAAGTGCCTCTCCAGCCCATGCCAGTTGGTTTTTGCATCTTTTTTTTTTTTTTTTTTTTTTTTTTTGAGACAGGGTCTCCCTGCAGTCCCAGGTGGCCTGGAGCTCACTATGTAGACCAGGTTGGCCTCAATCCCACAGAATTCTGCCTGCCTTGCCTCCCACATGCTAAGATCAAAGGCCCACAGGTTTTTTTTTTTTTTATTTAATTTTTTGTGTTTGTGTAAGATTCTTTTGACTGCATGTATATAAATGTGCCATGTGCATGTGCATGTCTGGAACTCATAGAGACCAGAAGTGGGGTCCCTTGGAACTGGAGTTAAGGACAAGTATTAGCTGACGTGTGTGTGCTAAGAATCAAACCTGGGTCTTCTGCAAGAGCAGCAAGTGCTCTTAACCACTGAGTCATCTCTCCAGTTCCTTGGTTTTTGCTTGTTTGTTTGTTTTTTGTTTTTTTTGTTTTTGTTTTTGTTTTTTTTTAAGACAGGGTCTCTCTGTAGTTAGAGCTGGCCTGGATCTCACTATATAGCCCAGGCTGGCCTCAATCTCACAGAGATCTGCCTGCCTCTGCCTCCTGAATGCTAGAATTAAAGGCATGCACCACGTCCAGCAGGTTGCTTTTTTTAAAAATTTATTTATTTATTCATATTTATTCATATGCACATGAAGGCCATTAGTGTGCATTGACTGGTCTCCTCTAGCACTCTCCACATATCCCTTTGAGGCAGAATCTCTTCCTGAACCTGGGGCTCACATTTTCTTTGCCAGCGTACTCCAGCGATCCTTGTCTCTGCCCCACTTGCAGCCTGAGTTACAAGTGTGTCAGAATGTCTGGTCTTTTCCATGAGAGACTGAGACAGGAAGATCAGAATACAACTTCAAGACCCACCTGGGCTATATAGCTAGACCTTGTGTCAAAAAACAAAAACAAAACAAAAACAAAAGCCAGTACAGATATCAAATTACTGTCGCCTCTTTTTTTTTTCTTTTCTTTTCTTTTCTTTTGGGGGTGCTGGGGGAGGCTAAACCAGCTTGTTGCTATTGTAGCCCAAGCTGGCCTGTAACTTAGGCTCCTCCTGCCTCTGCCTCCCAAGTGCTGGGATTACAGGTATGCACCACAACTCCTGGCTTCATCTGTATTTTTCAAAGGAGTGAAAGTGAGGCTCAGAGAAATATAACAAGGAAATTTACCCAAGGTCACCCAAACCGTCAGAGGCAGAGATGGGATTTGAACCCAGGCCACCTGACCCCACAATCTAGACTTTCATTTCTCACTGCCTTCCCGTGTGTTTGACCTTCACAGGATGGGAAGATAGTAGATGACGTCTGGGTGGTGAGACCCCTGCTTGGCCGGATGTTGTACCACTAGAGACTGGGACTGCTCTCAGCAAGAGACCAAGGCCTTGACACCTTGCTACTGTGACCAGGCGGTACCTTGGCCTGGGTGGGGAGGCAGGGCAGGATCTCACTCTCCCTGCCCAGAAGCCTTGAGGGAGCTGGAGCTACTCTTGCCTCCTGGAGAGGTGGGAACCCAGGCTGGTTGTAGAGGAAGGGCAGGAACTGGGTACCAGCAGGTCGGTCCTGTCAGCACAGCCCCACCCTCCAGCATAGCTCTGACTGGGCGGGGAACCCATGGGCCTCAGAATAAAGAGGTTTACAGCCATGGCTCCAGACTCACTTCGGATGGGCCACCTCTTTGAAGAGCACCCCCAGCCCAGGTCAGCCACTTGTCATGGCCAGAATTGTCAGCAGGTAGCGTCAGTGGCTCTCATCTGGTCCCAAGTGTGACTTCTCTGCCTTGTCAGCCCAGGGTGTACTGCCCAGCGTCCCTTTGTGCCTCAGTTTCCCAGCCAGCACTGTCTTATCCCGGAAGGGGGATGGGATAACACTCCAGCCTCCCCACAGGCACAGCTGACAAGCCTTGTGTTCACAGCTCTCTTTTTTGTCTTCCCTCCTTCTCCCTTCCCCCTTCCTTTCTCCTCCCTCATCCTTTCATTTAACCATTCATGATTTATGCAGCATCCTCCATGTACTGAGGCGGGCATAAGATAGACCTCTCCCTTTGTGGCACTGATGTGGAAGGAGGGAGTAGACAATATACTTGATAACTAAATAGGCTATTGAGGGGTAAGTGCTCAGAAAAGGCAGAGAAGAGAGACAGAGCAAGGGGCAGTGTCAGTGTACAGGGAGACCTCTGACAGCATGACCTTTGAACTAAAGTTGATGATCGGGAATACAGGTGGATGGTTGCCTGGGGGAAGGATGTTCCAGTCAGAAGTACAGCCAGTGCAAAGGCCCTGAGGCAGGACTGTTCTCCCTTCCTCGGACTGTCAGAGAAGAGGCTGATATGGCTGTCCCAGAGACAGTGAGGGAGAGAGAAGGGAAGAAGACAAAGTAGAAACAGATTATATGAACCTTGTGGGCCAGTGTGAGGACTTTGGATGAAGCCATGCAGTAGCCCAGGCTGACCCCAGCAGGCTCCCAGCTCTCTGGGCCACCTCACAGCTATCCTCCATTGTGCCGAACAATTCCTTTTTCAGCTTCTTCAGGTTTTAGTCCTACCTGTCCAAGGCTCAAAGGCCTCATGGAAGTTTCTGGAACACATCAAGCACTTGACCCTTGTAAGACCCATACATTTCCTATTTGACCTTCCTGTCTGAGTGCATGCACCAGGGTCCCCCTGGTTTAGAGATTCTTTTTTGACTGTTTTTCACGAAGCCCAGGCTGGCCTTGAACTAACTCCCTATGTGTCTAAGGATGTCCTTGAACTTCTGATCCTCCTGCCTCCATTTTCTTAATGCTAGGATTCCAGGTGTGCACCGCCATGCCTGGCTCAGGGCTCACACATTTTACACCCTGGTGTCTCCGCTGCAGCCTTGTCTGACGACCTCGAGACCAGGACTCCCAGGCTCCAGAGCCTTCATAATTACTTTAATCTCTACACCCTCATTATCTGCCTTGTTCATTTCTGTCTTCTTCCTGGGCCGGGGACCCTGTGTAATGGGAACCAATGACATTTTGTTCATACATGTGTCTATCAGCTCCATCCAACTCTTCCAGGCTGGACTGAGGCCAGGGGTGTCTCCTCCTCCCAGCCCTGTCTACTACTCCGGGCCATCACTGTCCTGGGATGAGTGTTTCCCAGTCTCCTATTGGACTGTCACAGTAAGGACAGAGCCCAGCATGGCCCAGGACAACAAGCTGAAGGAAGGTAACCACATACCATGTTACCTGGCTGGGCCGTGTCAGGATATCAAAGAATCAACCCAGTGGAGCCCTCTTCCAGCTCACAGGCAGGCAGAGAGAGAAACCAGGTCACCCAACCCGGATGACACACATGGAGGGAATGCTGACCAGCGAAGGAATGGCGGGAAGGGTCAGCTGTGGAGCCACAAATTGGAGAGTCACCACGGCTCCCATCACAGACTCTGCAGTGTGTACATGTGTCCAGCACATTCCAGCCCAGGCTGTGAACGTGCCAGGCAGGAAAAGTCTATAGAGGGGAAGGACCTAGTACAGGAGGCAGACAGCACTTGGATTCGAAGCCCACTCTGCCCCTCCTGTGTGACCATAGCAAGTCAAGGACTTCTGTGAACCTCTGTTTCTCTACACACAAGGATAAAAGCCTATGTGGAACCACGTTGCAATCAAGTGACATTAAAAGCCATGATATCAACCCTGGAGCCTTTTTCTCCTCTCTCCCTCCTCTCCCCTCCCCTTCTTTACTCATATCCTGTTTCTTCCCTCCCAACCCTACAACTTCCACATTTTGTTTTGACAAGTGTTTAAGGACATTTCTCAGTTCTTTTTTCCCTCCTTGAGACAGGATCTCACTATGTAGCCCAAACTAACCTCAAACTGGTGATCTTCCTGCCTCAGCCTCCCCTAGGTGCTGGAATGGCAAGCCTGCACCACCACACCCGGCCCAGGACTCTCAGATCTTCACACCTACTATGTAGACACGTTTCTGTCTGTTGATAGCTCCTTCAGAATTTGAACTCACTCCCAGGACCATGGGGATTTTTGGGATTCTCCCTCCCAGCCCGTCACTGGTCTGCAGTTAACATGCTCAGTGCACATCTGAGTGGCCCAAGGAAGATACAAGAAGGAAAGATTTTTTTTGTTTGGCCCAACACATCACTCTGAGAATTCCTTACACAGAGCAGGAATCCGGGTCATTCAGGTGAATCAGATAAAGGCGGGCTGGTGTGCTGGAGGACTGCATGCCAGGCACGTAGAGGCACCGCCACACCTGGCCTTTGTGGGGAAGCTAGCTGGTTTGCAGGCAGGAGACCCTGAGAATTAGGGAGGAATCACTGAGTAAGGATTTTGGAAGCAGCTCAGAGGAGATGGAAATGTTATCATAGGTCCCAGGAGAGTTTCTGACCTGTTTTTCTTGCCCAATGAAATTAACATGTTCATGCAATCACTTTGTGTGTGTGTGTGTGTGTGTGTGTGTGTGTATGTGTGTGTGTGTGTATAGAGTCTCACTATGTAGCCTTGGCTGGCTTGGAACCTGCTATTAGACCAGGCTGGCCTCAAACTCACACAGATCTCTCTCCCAAATGCTGGGATCAAAGGCATGTGCTACAATGCCTGCCTATATTTATTAATTTTAAAAATTTTATTATTTTTATTTGATGTGTATGAGTGCATTGCCTGCATGTATATCCGTGTTGGTGCAGTGTCCTTGGAGATCAGAGAGGCATCGGATCCCCTGGAACTAGAGTTACAGATAGCTGTTAGCTACCATGTGAGTGCTGGGAAACAAACCTGGATCCTCTGCCAGAGCAGCCAGTGCTTTTAACCATTGAGCCATCTCTCCAGCCCCAATTTTTTTATGTAAATGAATGTTATGCTTGCATGTAAGTGCAGCCATGTGGTGCAGTGCCCACAGAGGACAAAATAGGGTGTTGGATTCCCTGGAACTGGAGTTATGGATGGGCGTTAGCTGCCATGTGGGTGATAGGATTCGAACCTGGGTCTTCTGCTAGAACAGCCTATGCTCTTAACTGCTGAGACATCTCTCCAGCCCCATTTGTATTATTTTTCAATTATATGCTTATGTGGGGAGGGGGCATATGCCCACATGAGTGCAGGTACTCACAAAGTCCAGAAGAGGGTGTCAGATCCTCTGGAGCTGGCGTTACAGATGGTTGTGAGCTGTGGTTGCTGGAAATGGAACTCCGGTCCTCTACAGCAGCAGTACAAGCACCTAACTGCTGAGCCATCTCTTCAGCCCTGGGTAGCAGTTTTACAGAAAAGATTGAAGACTTCTCCCAGAAACTTCACGTCCTGCTCTCTCTATGATTAAAACCTCACATTAGTACATCTGGCTTGGGTTTTATTTGTTTGTTTGGGTTCTGGGGGGGGCGGTTGTTGGTTTTTTGCTGTTTGGTTTTTGAGGCAGGATTTCACAGGTCCCAGGCTGGCCCTTGAGCTTCCTCTGTAGCCTCGAACTTCTGATCCTCCTGCTTGCATGCCCTTGAGTGTACATCTTGTTTGGTGCCCCCTCTATGTAGTTCTGGGAATGGAACTGAGGCCTTTGTACATGTAAGGCAAGCACTTTACCAACTGAGCCACATCCCCGGCCTTTATTGCATTTTCTTTTTACATTTTTTATTACATTTATTTATTTATCTTTGTAGTGTGCACACACACATGCACGCACACACACGCACCTTGTAGAACATGCCTCTCTCCTTCCTCTATGTAGGTTTTGGGGATTAAACTTAGGTCACCAGGCCTACACACAAGCCACATGACCGAACACACTTGACCTCAGAAGCTAAGCACAGTTGGGTTTGGTTAGTACTTGGGTGGAGACCAAACAGTCCCCCTATTTAAAAAAAAAAAAATGGGGCTAGAGAGACCAGTCAGCAGCTAAGAGCACTGACTGTTCTTGCAGAGGACCTGGGTTTTTTCCCACACCCACATGGCAGCTAACAACTGTCCATAACTCCAGTTCCAGGGGATCCTAAAAGCCCTCGTCTGACCTCAGGAACTGCATGACACAGGTGCACTTATACATATGCAGGTAATACACTCATACACATAGAAATTAAAAAATAAGTGAAATAATTTTAATTTTTTAATATTTTATTATTTTTATTTTATACGCATGCATGTATTGCCTGCACCTGTGTCATGCAATGCCTGCGGAGGACAAAAGAGGCTGTCAGATCCCCTGGAACTAGAGTTACAGACAATTGTTAGCTGCCATGTGGGTGCTGGGATTCAAACCCAGGTCTTCTGAAACAACAGCCAGCGTTCTTAACCACTGAGCCATCTCTCCAGCTCAAAGTTTTTATTTTTTAAACAGAGTTTCACTGTGTAGCCCTGGCTCACTTGGAACTCACTGTGCAGACCAGGCTAGCCTCAAACTCATAGAGATGTCCCTGCCTCTGCCTTGTGCTTTATCTTTTAAAAAAATTTTATTTATTTAATGTGTATGAGTGTTATGTCTCCATAACAGTATACGTAAGTGC